TGGGCTCCACTTTTAAGTTTTAATAGGAATAATTTAAAGGATAAATTCTTTTCTTTATTGTTTTAATTGATAGTAAACAACTTTATCTATAATTATCTTCTTTTATATAAAATGTTAAAAATATCTCATTGCGCCAGAATATTACTTTTATAGTATTTTATTTTATTTATCAGACTTTTAATATCATTTATAAAAAAAAAAATTTCTTACACTATAATTTTTTGATAATATTATTATTAATTATTATTTAACTGTATAAAAAAATTACAATTTTCTTTAAAATTCAATGTTTTTTAAATTAAAAATAAAGTATTCAATAAAAATAAAAATATCGACCTGTTTTTTCCGTTCTATATTATTTTATTAATTTTTTGTATATTTTTATCTTTAGTTTTTTTCAGGTCCTCTGTCTTTGTAAATGTTGTGATACATGAAGTAAATTGTGAATAACCGATGCATCAGTGAATTGATATGTGTATTTGAAAACGTATTGCAATGAAAATTTTTTTATTTTAACGTTGATTTTATAAAATACTTAATACAATAAATTATTTACAATGTATTCAAAATATTTGAATAAAATTCTTATGTATAAAAATACATTTATATCGATTTGAATATGATTATTATTTATAAATTTATAAAATGTACGTATTTTTTTCTTTTAAGAAGAATATAATTGTTTCCCTTTTCGTGCTTGTTAAATTTTGTCGCTGTTAATATTTAGGATCTTCTATTTACCACTTATTGTATAATAATAATTTTTTTACAGTAAACTTTCATATAAAATTGTGTTTGATAATAATATTAGGTAAATAATAATCATTATATTTAAAAAGGGTGAATAAAATCAATTTAATGAGAAACTTATAGGAAATTTTCATATTTTTCATTTGACATAATTCTATTATAAATATATGAGAATTTTTATTTACTATGTAATTTAAATATTTTTTTGAAGATTATATGCTTTTCATTGTAACAATTTTATAGGAGTAGCTCATTTACTGTGTTGTATTTTATTTCACAATAATCAGTATTAACAATTTGTACTTTTTTCTTATATTTAGAAAAATCATTTAGGATATTGAGAGAACTGTTTGATCAATTTTTATAATTATTTATAAAATAATTTTTGTAATATATAGACATAAATACGAAAATATGTACAAATATATTGTGTTTTATTTTATTAAAAAGCCTATGAAATCTATTTAATAACTACTATTATTTAAAAGTAAATAAATACAATATATAATTAAATTTATCCTTATGCAGTTTTTTAATCATTTATCTCTATTCTTGGAGTAATTATATTTTAATATAAATATTTCATACAGATATATTGATCTTTTATGTAATTTAAATCATTTTTTAAATTTTATGTATTTTAAAGTATTCATAAGAATAGTCAATCCATGCAATATCATTAATTCTTTTTAATGATATAGATGCGATACTTCGAATGACTTCGAGTAGATTGCTGAATATAAGTTTGACGTATAAACTGGACATATATTATTCTTCTATTTGAATGAACAGTTTAAATACTATACAACATTGTATAAGCAATATTCCATTTTTCTTTGTGGCATAATGGACATATTATATGTTATTATAATCATTTTTATTCATATCCAATAAATGTATAGAACAGCGTCATTTATAACAGTGATGTGTAAGAAATAAAAAGCGGTTAAGTAAATAAGGATAATTGTGAGAATATTGACCTCAAGAATGCCTCTCTCGAGTGCTTCAGAGGCGAGTCGGCCAGGGGCTTCGAGACTCTTGCCATCGTCTGGTGGGCCCCAGGAAGCCGTATAAATATCTACGAGGTCCGCCCGATAACCGAGGGCCTCTGCCTCCACCCGGTCGTTTACGATCCCATCGAGCATTTTGACGCCACCAATCCTGGCTTCGAATGCCACGCCTACACCACATTTATGATTGTCTGCCTCCATGGCTATTTCCCCGGCGCATCTCGTTCCATGTCCATTTATCTCTAATCGATCCATCCTTACATTTTATTATTGATAAAAGTAGCATTGAATAATTCTCGGCCGCGGACATTTTGAGAACAGTGGCCATGCTACTTAATTACCGATATTAATAAAACTACTAAGGTATTTTTAAACGAATTATGAAATTAATTATGAAGATAGGATATTTAATGAAAATGATTATAAATCTTTGGATAATTAGGCTATGTAATTGTACGTAAATTGTTAATAAGCGCGAAATCATCGATAGTGTTAGATGAAATTACGCATACTTTCTTTGGCATTTGATAAATGTCTGTAAAAAAGAAATGTTTAACTAATTTAAGGCAATATATACAGTAACGTGACTCGTTGTCGTCGGTTATGGCTCATCGTCAACTATGTTCTGACTATTCATTCATTCAACGAGTGTTGATTATCTAAAGCAATTCTTCCGGAAAATTGATAGATGGACCGATTTGATGCAACCACTGTCGGATAAACGGAGGTGTTGATTGGATGAATAGATTTCAAGAAAAAGTAATTTCTGGGTATGTACAGATGGAAGTGAAACTTACCTGGTTCCTCGTATCGCGGTATGGGATCGTCATCGCGGTCAGTTACGTCGTAGCTGATCTCCGGATCCTTAAACAGAGCGGTAAAAGTGATGCAGGTGCAACCGGGCAAACGGAAGATTTTAAAAGGCTTACATAATTGGCGCGAAGATCCTCGTGTGTATACTCGAGGCCATCATCAAGAACAGCGATCCGAATACCACGTCCCGTGACACCAAGTCTGTAGGCTGGCAAGACGTTGAGATCAAGACTTGCTCTTGGTAGCTTCTCCGTAGTCTGGGCCGCGTGCTCCTGCTGCAGTCGATTAAAGTCCGTTATTTATGTCAATCATATACTTACCTGAATGACAAATAGAGCGGCCGGGCTCGAAGCAGCTGTCTATGAGAGACAGCCAAATGAGTTTGTTGATAGGTGTCGTTACCAGATACCATTCCTGATTCCAAAGCTCATCGTTGAAGACTGGGTCCGTGTGGTAGCCGCGTTTTTGACGTCTCACTGCTCGTTGCCGATCCGCCCAAACAATCTGTGACGAATAGCAGAAATTTAGTCAGGAAAGACAATCGTCCATATGAAATGTATATACCTTGATGTGACTCTTCAATGCACTCATAGCATAGCGCATACCTCGCTTCTTATAACGCAGTCCATCAATTGCGCGCCACAAGTATGTATCCTTGAAGCCCAGAACCTGTCGTCGGGGAAACTGAGTCTATGCAACCATGTAGATATATATATATATATATATATATATATATATATATATATTTGTATTCAAGGAGAATATGTTGGCGGAGGAGGATGGCGAATGCATAATAAAAGAAACGTTAACACGTTATCTGTTGCTCTCACATATCCAGCTAGATAAATTTACAAGATGATGGAAGAGGAAAATGAAAATAAAGAACTACAATGTTATTTCTTATATAAATTACAAGATAGTATGTCTTATCTATATGCAGATTATATTAGGAGGAGAAAAAGAAGCATACGTTCCTTCATTTTCACGTTTCAAATGTTTGTGCATAGTTGGCGTATATTTATCAACTCAAAAGAAATTCGACTCTGATTTAATATTCAATATATCATTAGACAGCGTAAAAAGTTTTATGAAATTATGGGACTGAACCATATATTTGTATATTTATTTGTATCCTAATTATATTTATATTTATATTTATTTGAAATCTCTGTGATTTATAATTTAAAATCAAATTGTCAGAATAATTATACAAAGGATATTCAGATGAATAAATGGATCAAGAATGTATATTAAGCTATAAAGTAACTAGTTCATTATTGTGCAGAGTGATTTATCTAATTTTATACTTCAATTACTATCAAATATGAAAATTAAATTAGCATAACAATTATTCAAATCGTTTATTGTTATAAATAAATGAAAACAGAAGTAAGAAAAAATAATGAAAATGATTGAAAATATTTGGACAAAAAGCTTTTTTCGATCTCTATTCCGATATATAATCATTGTCAATATTTCTTTGTAATATTCTACAAATTAAAAAGTTTTATTGAAAGCATTACTATGCTATAATATATTAGGCAAACATTCTCTTTTTAGGAACTCCTATTATTTGTATGTGTTTTTATTTCAAAAATTAAATTTGTTATTCTTTTCTGAATTTTTCAGATTTTATTTTTTAGATGACCAATATCAATTATAATTTTATATATTTATTTGCATAACATACAGAATAAAAATATCGGTTGATTGTATAATATTTTAATATTCTAGAGAATTGCATTTTTATCTAATAAATAAATGCAATTTTATTATTAGTTTTTAATTTGCATCGTAAACTATTTTACTATTTAAATTATTCAAATATTAAATTGAGGAAAAATTAATTATTAAATTTTCTAATCTTTATTGAATTTTCTAACACGATGTTGCTAGTTTAATTTCCAATAAATTATTATATTAATATTATATTTTATTAATAAGTATTAATAAGATAAATATTAATATTTTTTAATTTATAAAAAAAATTCATTAATTAAACAGTAATGACATAGTTAATAAATTCAATCATGTATTCTAACATAAAATCTAATTTACCATTTCAGTAAACGGGTAAGTTTCAAATCAAATCATTAAATATATATTTTTATAATCTTATTGCACATATATTCTATACATATGTATTAAATGTATGTTCCAATTTAAATGGTATGAAATATTAATGTTAAAAGAATTATTCGTAATTATTCTACAATATGAATGTAGAATACTTTTTAAATTGAATTTCAAATACAAATCTTTTTAAAAAGTCTTCTATAAAAACAAAATTTTATTTCATTTATAATTTATTTTCAAAGTACAATATTAATAATTTTTACTTTGAAATTTAATTCTTTTATAATTTATATTTAAAAATCTCATTTCTATTTCTCTAATAACATCTTATTTCATTAATAAGATTTTATTATGAAGTAAATATTAGAAATTGTTCTTCATTATTAAGCTGAGTAAGTAAATCCTAGAAATTAAGCGCTATACGGAATGCTTGTTGTCGACATTTTATCTATAAATGAGGATAGAAATATAAAAATGATTAAAAAAATATATATCTCTGACTTAGCCATAGTATATATGAAGCTTTAGATGTTTTAAGTTGGTGGAATTATTCTAAAAAGAAATTTCTTGATATGGATTACTTCATAGCCTAGTAATATTCATGATTGTTATTATAGACTTAAGTTATTAAGGATATGAGTGTATACAGCAGTATTTAAAAGGTCGTTACAAATATTTCTAATTATTATAAGAAGTATCTTGAAATTAATTCTTGTGAGTTTTCCGAAGCGCTGTCTAATAAGCATTTAAAAATCACCGAATTGGTAAATCGCATTTGCTGTAATTAGAAGCTCTCGGGATCCCCGTCTGAATATAGAACGTAGGTGGAGGCAGACTCATTAGAGGCGTTTGAGGTTGATTAAACATGGAAATAATTAAAGAGCTGAGTGCTTTAAGGTTAAGAATTTGCATTTGATCGGCTCGAGTGTGAAACTACAGTCAACTGTACACAGATTTCAATGCCTGCAGCCAGTCAGCATCATCTCGCATAATCATAATGCTTTACTGGAGTGGGGTTTTTCATAACCTCAGGAACTACTGTGGCTAGATATTTTCTGTCTCCTCGGTATTTCATCAATTGATCTATCCCAGAAAATTAACTACCATGGACAACTAGATGAGAGGAAACAGAGAACATATAAAAAATTATAAAGCTTTGTCAAAGTAATGTTAAAATTATAGAACGAGTTCGTCAACTTTAAAAATCTATTTTTTCTATAATATTGTCCAGTAAAATAGACGGATTTTTTAACTACTAAGATGATAAATAAAACATTTTCTTAGTAAAAGAATTAGTCAGGAATACCGTGTTTTGACGTTCAAGCTATGTATATTACAAAAATTCGAAGTAACTTTTTTCTACACATAACTATGAAAAGATTGAAAAACATATTTTAAAGATTTACAATTGCGTTGTTAAGATGGGCTAAAAATTGGAGTCTTTTTACTTGTTTATAATAGTCTAAGGAAAGTATCAATTTATGATGTATCTAAAATAATTAAAATAAATTTTCTTCTCCAAATTTCATATATTCATTGTACGTCTTGCATTTCTATAAACGATGCTGAAAATTTCAATTTATTGAGAAATTTATGTAGTTACAATAAAAGAAAAATAATAAAAAAATTTAACAACTAATATTTGAGTAAAAAGTAATATTTTCCTTTTTACACCTACGTGAAATGTAACAAGTATTTATGAGTCATTCAGTAAATTAATAAGAATTCATAACTCGTAGTCAATAGGAAGTCAGAAATTTCAAGTACTACGCTTTTATTTTATATTATCAAATCAAACATCCTCGTGGCTATAAGTTAAACTGTGTAAAAAACATCGTAAAGTTGTTTGATTAGCTATCGAATTTGTTATGTATAAGCGACATCATAATGAGGTCACGAATATTGAATAATTGAGCAAGCGTTGGAAAGAGGTAGGGGAAGTTCAGTTATTTGCCAAGGTCGAACAGTAATTACTGTCTATTGGCTAACAGCTAAAAAAATCTACGCTTGGAACATTGTTTCGTAGAAGCTTACCGAGCCAATGTGGAGATATCCTGAGCGCAATGCGAGGAGGGAGGCGAGCTTTGGTCCACCCTTCATGCGAATGACCCACTCATCCGACTCTAGGGCGTGAAGTGCAACGAAGGCGCAGCAGCAGCAACAAAGGGCCAGACGCCAACAAGGCTGGGACCACCTATGCAGCTATTCGTTACCATGTCGCTTTAAGTTGATTAATAAACGATTCGCGTTACCTGCTATTCATATCCAAGGCCAGGATTCACAGGGTACGACGGTTGCGACGGCTCGCGGCAATTAGTGTCTGCCGGTTGCAGTTCAGTAAATTTTCTTCGCAACCACGGCCACCCCTCCACCAATGGGGGAACGCCCCATTGGTCCGACTCCCACCAAAGTCGAACCCTGGGACCGCGGCGGTCGACACTGGTTTTGCACTTCTTTACTATTCACCTAACCCTATTGTAACTGACCCCACCATCTGCTCATAATCCCATAATCTCACAATCCCCCCACAACGTCTTTTTAAGCTCCGAACTTCCAACCCGGTACTCAGCTTCGTGCGGGTGAAAAGCCGCGGACGATGCCGGAAAATCGATTTGAGGGGGGTGGGGTGGAAAGAGGGAGGGGGCTTGGATATGAGAGCGCGCGCGCGCGCGTACCTGCGACCGAGAACCCGAGAGACGCGCATTTATTTGCATTGAGTATCGAGTGGTAGCTTACCATACTTATTACTGGCCTATGAAAAAGGTATGAAAAATGTACTCTTTACTAATCGAATACTAAGTTCTAATGATAATGTAACGTGATTATCGTATTCTTTCTTTGGCACGATTACAGTGATTATAGCAGACTCGGGATATTCCTCTTTAAATGAAAGTACATAACTAAGAAAGACGTACAAGAATCTACTATATATGTCAATGAGATGTGTACGGGACGATGACAGCTATTCACCATATCAATTTCTAAAGAGCCGTTTTAATACTTATCTCTTTAAGTAGCCGAATTAATTCTTTTTTGTTGATCTGTGCCGAGTTTCATTTGTATTTAAATGTGTACTATCATCTCGGTACATATCTAACGAATGTTTAAAATATTTAAAATATTTAAAAATATTTCCCTCTAGTTTAACCTCTGTAATTTCTACCTATATACTTTTGACGATTTATGGAAAAATCAGGAACATGATATACATTGGCATGAGTAATTTTTTATTTAGTACTGTAAGAAAAAGAGGATGGTAAACCGTTTATAAACTTATTCTACATTTCATACATTAGATAAATGTTTGCGTTAAAGTATATTTTTATCATTAAAATTGAATATAACACAATTATTTTTCATTGTTCTGTGTGTACAATGTGTACATACAATGAGGAATTTAATTCGTAATCATTTTTAAATAATAATGAAAATGGAACACAAAATTTAAATAACTATGCAAAGCTATTATCGTAAGAGTTATTAGCTAATGCAAATTTAGTACATTCAATATGCTTTTAATATTTCAGCAACATTAACATTTATTTTAATATTTTATTTTTAATTGATGTTAAAAATAAACAATGATATAAATTACAATTACTAGTACATTGATTAATATTGATAAAATTCTGATAGAATTAAAGTTCGAAGTTACAAATGTTTATATTGTACTATCAAAAGGAATGCTAAAATCATTTATAATGTTAGTAATTTTTTAAGAAATTCCATTCATTAGAATAATTAACAATGTTCAGAATTTGCTAATAATTAATTATTGCATTAGAAAATGCATAAGACTTTTCAAGACAACCACGCTATCTAGTGTGAAATATTAATATCGAGAAAATATGTGAAAAGAATGTTGACATCTGATAATGCTGCAATCTAGTTTGTCGATAGTACACGCTAAAAAGCTTAAAAAGCTTTTACTCTATATATCTTTATATTTTATACTATTATAGTTCATCTATAGATTGTAATATTTAATTTAATTCAATTTAATACTTGACGGGGCTCATAAAAATCAATAAAAAATTCAAATGACTACTTTACAAAATATTTGTAGGTACTTAGTTTTACTACTAGATTATTTTTACGAAAATGTATTTCAATAGAACATTAGTGATATTGCATATTTCATTGCAATATATATTAAATATTAAGTGTTTATTTTTATATGATAACCGATAAAATATTTTCAACTTATCAATATACAAATTAGATAATTTGTACCAAAAGCCAAATTAAACATGTGTATAAAAAATATATGCATATAAGTATGCAGAAGATAAAAATATATAATAAATCAATTAGGGTACAAATAATTATAATTTTATAAAATTAAAAATTGAATATGAAATATAATAACATATATATCTAATTATTTCATCATTAATTGAAATTTTTTTTTTAAATAAGCTACTTCATAATAACATATAATCAAATTTAGTTATTAATATTAAATTTTATCCAATCTACTGAAATGGAATTTGGCAAAATGAAAACATAAATAATATTGAAACTCAAAACGTTATTTATTTGTTTCGAATTAAAGAAACTCAATTGATTTGATATTTGTAAAAAATATAAATATGATGTCGAATCAATTCCAAATCTTTATTGACAAAAATTAAGCAACTTGCAACGATTAAGTAGTTATTCATTTTTTATCGAATAATGTTGAATAATTTTTTATACTTAAGTAGTAAAATCAAATTAATTTTTGAATATTCTTTTCAATTACTATAATTCTCCAAACAAATAAACAAATACAATAAAATATATTCATACTAGAAAAACATTAATTTAACCCATAAAGTTTATCGCAAACTTTTAGGTGTACTAAATATCCATATATGTTATCTTTCGTTGATTTTATATATTAATATTATGGAAAATGTGGATATCTAATAAAATTAATCTAAAGAGACGCTGTATCTGACCTAGATATAACAATAAATGGAATATTCGCATACGATGTACTGCGTTGTTCCGTTATTACTACAATAGTAGCACACTATATATACTAATTATAACATATTAATTAAGAGTTAATGTTTCACAATTAGATTTTTAATTGATATAAAAGAGCATATCTTTGAATGTTGCATTGCAAAAAATAATAAGCCTTCTTTTAGACTAAATTAATTTGTGTCGAGTAAAATATTAGGCTTATCTTTATTAAATTTTCTAAATTTTTAACAATTTTTATATTCGTTTATTTATTTCAATGAAGATTTGAATCATCATAATTATTGATTCATTCAGTCGATAATAAAGACTCTAGAATATAAAATTTCCAATCGGGAATATAAGAAAACTTTTTTACAATATAAAGCTTCGAACACTCAACACTAATATTATTAACTGATAAAATAAAATGAATTTATAATTTACAGCTATTCAAAATATTACTTTACAATATCAGATAACTCAATAATAAATTATTGTTACGTAAAGTGCAAATATGTATATCAAGAAATATGATCAAGCAAGAATTCTAAATTAATTAATGACAATGAAAAAAGAATAAGCTAATATTAAGTAATGTAATACAAGATGTATGTTTGTTTATTCAGCCGAATACAGATTTAATTGAATTAAGCCAATTTTAAATAATAAATCGCCAACAACGCTTATATTCGAATCTTAATATTAATTTTCTTATTTGAATATAATATATAAAACGGATATCTACTGATTTATATATTACAGCTGAAGAGTAACTAGAATATTAAGAATAATTTGTTACTCGAGTATACTTAAAATATTATATATACAGTAAAATATAGCAAAACTTTGATATAACACTGTATTTATGATCCACTAATAATCTTATTCAATTTGAATGGTGAAATTTTTTAAAGGCATATGTACTAATTTTATACTAATTTGTATTAATACTCTATTATTATCAAACTAAAAAACCTAGATACTTATAAAACAGTTTATTACTTGAAAGTATTCTAATGTTCAAGGACCGTAGATCTAAGTAAATATTTCACTTAATTAAATATATTCAAGTCGATATATAAACAATTATTTGTTATATATCACAAATAAATTATATATGATAATTGAACTATCGATAGTTTATTGTAAATACAAGCTTTTATCTAAAATCTGTTAAATTCTTTTCATAAATTTAATTACATAAATTTCTTAAAGTTTAAATAGATTTTGCTTATTTTCATTAATGTGAGATATATTTCATAATCTGCTCTGTCATCTAATCGTTATATATTAAAATAAAAAGCAAAATAAAACAATTTCACATCTAAGAGTAAGTGCAGTATTGTATTAGAAGGTTATTTACCAAATAACAAGAAAAGGTAATAACAAACATTGACACATCCCTTGAATAAAATTGTATATCATTTTTTATGGTGGTTCGAGTCTCATCAGAAATGTAATGAAATGTCATTAGCAGGCCGATGATTAGCAAGCAGAGCTTAAGCAATGTTCTAAGTGGATATCACATATCTCAGATAAACATCAATAGATCGGCTATCTTCCCCCGAGCGAACAACCAAAATTTACTCAATTGCGTAGATTTCCTTGGAAGCTTGCGTGTTTGATCAAACGTCAGTCATATTGCCATTGCATCACTACTTATCAGTCTTGTCTTGGTTTCGATAAATAAAGTAATCAAAAACATAATTGAATGTGTTTCAAATCATTTTAAGTCCGAGTGGTTGCAGCGTAAGTTAGTTAATAAAAGTGACAGATTTTATTTAAAATTATTCAGATTTGAGTATCCAATTTTCAAAAAATAATAGTGAATAAATATTTTGATCATATTAAAAAAATAAAAAAAAAATTAACTTTAACTTTCAACTTTTTCTTAGCGTATTCCTCGTATGTATATATATATATATATATATATATATATATATATATTGTAGGTGCTTTTTTCATTTATCCTTTGAATAAGCTTCCATAAATATACAAAATATTATAAATAATTCTATCGAGCCCTAACTACAAATTAAATAACAGTGAATATTCGAAAATTTTTAAACTTGGAATAGAATTGTACTAATTTTTTTTGTTCAGAGTTATCAATCCTTATATCGAGACTACATGTCTTTACGAATTGTGATTTATTTTATAGCAATAGAACTTCTATGCTATTTACTGTAGGATTGATTTATTCGTAGAAAAAAAAAATGAAAATAATTTGTATGCAGTCATTTGTCTGATTCACATTTAAAGTTCGTACACATTTAGTATCGACTCTACAAAAAGTGTATGGGCATCCGCGTTCGCAAGCAGTGGATAAATTGTCGAAATTGATTTTACAACTCGTACACAACCACAAAGTTGTACAACCCTCTTTATTGTCCATTTTAATGTTATTTAATATTATTTCATTCTTATTATTTTATAATT